TTCATAGTTGAGATAGCTCTTTGCAGACAATCTTCATAGCAAACCTTGTAAATTGTACTATGATTTTTTATTTTATTTTATTTCATTTATGTCTATGTTTTGCTTGCATGTATTTCTACGTGTCACATGCATGCATGGTGCCTAAAGATGCCAGAAGAGGATGTCAGAGCCCCTGGGACTACCAGTTGTGAATGCCTCTGTGGGTGCTGGGAATTGAACCTGGGTCCTCTGGAAGACCAGCCAGTGCTCTCAACTTTTTAAGCACTGGACCATCCTTCCAGTCCCAGAGACTTTAAGTGGAGTCTAGATTGAGGGCTCCTTGCCTTCTTCTCTCCCCTTAATTTTTCCTGTCTTTGTATCCTTCCTTCAGAATTAATAGCTGTTGTTTTTTTTTTAACATTTGTGTGTATGTGTTGGTGTACATGTGTGCTTGACATAACATGCCACAGCAAACATGTGGAGATCAGAGGACTACTTGCAGGAGTGTCAGTTCTTTCCTTCACCATGTGGGACCCAGGAATTGAACTCAGGTCATTGGGCTTGGCAGCAAACACTTTTACTCCCTGAGCCATCCTGTCAGCCCTCGTTATAACATCCTCAGGTGTGCAGAAGGGACTTTGCTCATTTGTGTGGTGTTTCTAATTCTAGAGGGATTTAAAGACCCAGCTCTCTACACTTCCTGGTTGGAGCCTGTTCATGCTTTTAGCATGTGGAAAACCCCGAGAGCCTTTGACAAGTATGAGAAGTCTGCAGCCCTGGTTAGCAATAGCCAGCTCTTAGTGAAGCCACTTGACATGCTCGTGGGCAAGGCATGGAATATGTTTGCTTCCAAGTAAGTACAGGAGAGGTCTCCAGACTTGCTCACCTCAGCCAGACAATGCCAAGGTAAGGCATGAGGTGTGCTGTGTAGCAAGCCTGGCTGCCACCATGTGGCTGTGAGGCTTTGGGCATATAACTTAAAGGCTACCCCTCATCCAGGCAGCAAGGATCCAATGAGGTAATCATGCAAAACACCTGCTATACCACTTGGCTAACAAAGTGGTCAGTAATTGTTCTGTGCTGTTACTTTTATTTTATGTGTGTGGGTATTTTGCTTATGTGTATGTCTGTATGCCACAGACATGCCTAGAGCTGTGGGAGGCCAGAAGAAGGTGTTGGACCACCTGGAACTAGAGTTACAGATGGTTGTGAGTGTGTAGGCACTGGGAGTAGAACTTGGGTCTTCTAGAAGAACACCCAGTGCTCTTAACCACTAAGCTATCTCTCCAGCATGTCGCCTATACTACTTTTAATATATAGGACTTGTTTACCAAATGAATAGTTTCTAGGCAAGATTCAAAATTTCATAATAAGATAGTTAAAAAAAAAAAAAAAAAGATCCCTGGCACGAGAGATGTTGCTTGGGAGAAGAGCACTTGCCCAGCATGTGTGAGGGCCTGTGTTCTGTCCCTAACACTGGTAAGAGAACAGAAAAAGTCCTGGGGAGTAGACAAGACTCTGGTCTTCCTCAGTAATAGCAATGTATTTGAGGGAAGCCTTAGCAACTTCTTGGCCTCTTCCCACAGACAGAATACAATTCTCCAGGTGACTAAACAGGGTTAGGATTTCCCAGGCCTACTCACCCTGCCCAGGCTGGTCCATAGTCGGTCTCCTCCTCACCTGGATCCCAAGTCCTCTTTAGGTTCAAGCTCTCTTACTGTTGCTATGACATCAGTTTATCTCATGTCTACACTCTCTGTTCTTCTGGGAGCTGGGTTTCTCCTGACCCAGAACATTTGGGTTGGAAGGGTCTGAGAAAACCACCAAGACAGAACCCTGGATTCATTTCTATTTGTTTGTTTGTTTGTTTGTTTGTTTGTTTGTTTCAAGACAGGGTTTCTCTGTGGCTTTGGAGGCTGACCTGGAAGCTCTTGTAGACCAGGCTGGTCTCGAACTTACAGAGATCCACCTGCCTCTGCCTCCCAAGTGCTGGGATTAAAGGCATGTGCCACCACCGCCCAGCCCCTGGATTCATTTCTAATGTCAAACCTTAAGTGAATCTTCTGGGCTCCTTTTTAGAATTGATGTGGAGGCAGTCACCCCCTGTAGTGTACTGAGCCCATTTGCCAGGAATACAGAGTCAGACATGCGCCTTCCCCTGAGCCATCTTGGACAGTAAAGGCAGAGGGAGTGTGACATAAGCTGAAATTCTGCTAAGGTTATTTACTGATTCTGAGTAAAATGTGACCCACACATAAGTAAGGTCCTTGAGAGGTTCTGTAAGCTTTGAACGCTCACAAGCCAGGAAAAGTCTATTTATTGTTTAAGCTTCTCCTTTGCCTTGATTTGTTGATTTGACGGTTTCTGCTTTTCACCAGAGCCTACATTCATCAGTACACAAGATTTGGAATGGAGGAAGAAGACTTTTTGGACAGTTTTACATTGTTAGAACAAGTTGTGGCCAGTTACGGTAGCCTCGGACCCTAAACTAAGAGGAAAAACACCTCACAGGACTTTCGGACTAAAATATTTTCAAAATTGAGCCATGCACAGTGGAGGTCACGTGTGATCCCAGCATCCTGGAAGTAGAAACAGGAGAATCAGGAGGTCAAGGTCATCCTTGGCTACATCAAGAGTTCTGAGCCAACCTGGGCTACGAGACCCTGTCTCAGAACAGACAAATAAATACAAATGCTTGCTCTAAAGTTCAATCTGTTAAAGTAATAAAATAGAATGCTGAATTTGGTAAACTGTTGCTGAGTCCTGTTGCTAAAAGAAAACTGCTTTTCCACTAATTCATGTCTTTCAAGCATTTTTAACTATGACAATATTTATAAATGAGTGATTTGGAGGAATTGTTTAAATTCTTTTTCCTAATTTTCCTTCTTCTGGATAGATTATTTCAACAAGTAATTTATAGTGATGACTGTGTTGACTTCAATTTGGAGTGTAGTGGCTGTAGCAGAATAACCATTTGGTCTTATTGAAGCCAACACAGAACTTGCTGTGTTTTCTTCAGTGATGAATAAAATACTTACAAATTGGAAAAAATAGAATGCTAATTCTAGTTTATGTACTCTGTCCACAGACATGAAGAAAACACTTCAGGTCGAGTGTATTGTATTTTCAGGGAAAACATGTGTTGTGGAATATTACTCTATGTAAAGGTGTGTTACACTTGTTTATGCTGCATTTGTTTAATTATGTAAAGATGTGTTGCTGTCTTACCTTGTCTGCCTAAGGAACCTGATAGATCTAACAAAAAGTTGTCCTGACAACAGGTATGCAGAGAGAATAAGTAGGAGGAAGAATCTAGAAAAGAGAGAGAGGGAGAGGGAGAGAGAGAAAGAGAGAGAGAGGAGAGAATAAGGGAGACGGACCCTGGGACCAGTCATCCAGGCAGCTGCCAGCCACTCTGATAGGGAGAAAACAGAAAAATAAGACATATAGAATGAAAGAAAGACAAACAGCCCTGAGGCAAAACATAGATGAAAAGAAGGTTAAATTATTAGAGCTAGTGGGATAAGCATAAGATAAGGCTGAGCATTATCTTATTCATAACTAATAATTATTCATAACTAATAATACGTCTCTGTGCTATGATTTGGGAGCTGGTTAGTGGCCCAAAAGAAAAACTGCTGCAGACATGTATTTGATAATTCATTTATAAGAAAAAAAGCAATGTTTCTATAAAGAACATCATTTCATTAGGCCAGGATCTCATACTGTTGGGCTCAAGAGAACCCTCTGCTCCAGCCTCCAGAGGAAGCTGTGTGCGCCTTGGAGTTTACTTTAAAAGAATTCCACAAACACTTGACAGCCACATAACTGTTAAGAATCCAATGGAAGGGCCAGCCATGGTGGCGCACACATTTAATCCCAGCACTCAGGAGGCAGAAGCAGGTGGATCTCTGTGAGTTTGAGGCCAGCCTGGTCTCCAGAGTGAGCTCCAGGACAGCCAGGACTATCATACAGAGAAACCCTATCTCAAACAAACAAAACAAAAGAATCCAAGAAAAGGAAATGTTTTGTTTGTCTCCATGTTTCTAAATCTTCCCTCATTACTCAAAAAGATTTACTAAATGTGATCTACACTTTCACAGTTCAGATGGAAGCTGAAAAATGTGAGGATGCATGTGGGCTTTTAAGAAAAGGTGTGTGTGTGTGTGTGTGTGTGTGTGTGTGTGTGTGTGTGCACGCGCGCGCAGGCATGCGTGTGGCTGTGCACATGTAAGAAGGTACCCATGGAGGCCAGAAGGAGACGTTATATTCTGTGGAGCTGGAGATACAGGTGTTGGTTCTGGGAACTGAACTCAGGTTTTCTGCAAATGCAGTAACTAGCACTCTTAACCCACCCGCCATCTCTCCAGCCCCAGCATGGGTTTGGTTGGTTTGTTTGTTTTTGAGGCAGGGCCTCTGTAGCCCAGGATGGTCTGGAGCTTGCTATGATTGTCCAGTCTGGCTTCAGCTTTCAGTCTGAGAGGTACAATTCTGTGATAATGAATGCTTTGAACCACAAGAGGGAGATGTTGTCAAATGCTACAGTGTGACCATTGATTCCTAATACAACGAGCTACTTTACAAGGCTATTTAAAAATTAACCTTGGGCCAGGTGCAGCTGTGTGCCCTACACTTCCAGCACTCAGGTGACTGGGGCAGGAGGAGCTGTTCAGTCAGGAGTTCAAGATGAGCCTGGACAAAAAAAAAGTTTGAACACTGTTGCAAACAGTTGTAATCCTAACAACTTGTGAGATGGAGGCAAGAGGCTCAGGAGTCAATGGCAGTTTGAGCACATATCAAATCCCAGCCAGACAGGACTATGTACACAGCAAGACCTTGTCTCCAAATCAAAGCCAGGGCTTGGAGAGACGGCTCAGCAGGTGAAGGCACTTGCTGCCTAGTCTGACAACTGATCTACACGACAGAAGAGAACCTATGTGCCATGGATGTGCACGCACCCACACATATTAAATATTTATTCTGAGACAGGGTCTTACTGTGCAGCCCTGGCTGGCCTTGAACTCACAGAGATCCAACTGCTTCTGCCTCCTGAGTGCTGGAATTAAAGACTTGGCAGGCATTTTTTTTGTTTTTGTTTTTTTTTAGTAAACAGGTAAATGTGCTAATTGTTTGCTTTACTTCTTCAACTCTCTGAGAATGAATGAATTGGGTCAGATTGGGTTGTGGACCGTAGAACGTCAGAGGAGACACTGACTTTATTCAGTGGGTTCTGTGTCCAGAGGATCACCCTCGGGTCATAAAGCCTGGTGACAGGTACCTTTACCAGGTGAGCCATTTTTGTCAGTCCTGCAGTAAAAATATCACCCATATGTTTTGTTAGTTTGAGAAAATTATCACAAAGGCAATACAGTACTAGATAAAACTAACATACGGGGATGTTGGTTGCACTCTGAAGATCCTCACACACAAAACATTTGTGAATATGTTTGAAGGAAACATTGTGTCTCAGTGAAATACATCACACGTGGTGTATCAACAAATCTAAATGGGTACAAAATAGGAGCACTGGCTGTTTCTACCCCATCTACCAGTAGTGACTTACTGTGCACGGAAAAACAACAGTTCCCAGCTTTGCTGCTTTCTTGCTTTTCTATCCATATGGAAATAATTACCTTTTTGCTGTTTTTCTTATCTACTGTTGCTATGGTGTAAAATACTGGACTATATCTTATTTCCAAGGAATGCCGAAAGTGGTCTGCTTAGCTGCTAGAAGGCACACCCCACTGGCTACATTTTGTTAAAACTCAAATATACTTGAGAAATAATTAGATCATAATTCTCACAAGGCAGAATTCTTCAGCTCTGGACACATCCAGGGACTTAACTTCCCAGAGGAGACCAGTGTTAATGAAGACCTGTGGTTGCATGAGCTGGGGGTGGGGGTGGAGAGTTGACTCAGGGATCTTGCTGAAAGGAATGCATGAGAGAAGTCAGAAGCTGAAATCACTTGATATTTGAGACAGGAGTTGATGAGGTACACACAGGGCAAAGGTATTTTATTTGAAACCCATGTAATCAAAAGCAGGCACATGTTAGAAGGAAATTCCTATAAGCACTCAGGACCCAGCCGTGTGTGTGAACATTTTTTTCAAGTTCTCCAAGCTTGTTTTAAACATTTACATGGAAAATATTGTTTTCAAAAGAATTTGTAATGACTTTTTTTTTTAAATAAAGAGTTGCAATTTTAACAAAAATTCACACTAGAGGCCACGTGTGGTGGCATTTGCTTATAGCCTCTGCTGTGAGGGAGGCTGAGGAAGGGGGACCAATCGAGCCCAGGACTGAGGTCAACCCTGGCAATATGTTGAGATGCTCCTGCCTCAACCAAACAGAACCAAACAAACACGATCCATGAGGAAGCTTAAGTCAAAGCTTTGGAATCTAGGGTGGCACCAGAGATGCACCAAACAGCGAGAAAACAGGCAGGAAGGAGCTCCCGGGTGGAATAAGGACGCATCTGAAATGAAGTCTTGAAGCCAAGCATGGTGGCCCACACCTGTAATCCTGACTTAGAGTCTTCAGGACGCTCAGGTTAGGAGGGTGGCCCACACAGAAATGCTATTAACCCCGAGTGAGGGGGCGCCCTATGGGCAGTGGGTATGGTGTGAGCAAAGATGGCTTCCTTTCAGGTCTTTCCATCCCTTTGTCTCCTCAGAGCCTTTTACTGTAAGTTGCAGAACCCATCCTCTTTCCCTCTCCGCTTCCCTCCCGGCTCTGGGCTCCCCCCAAACCCCCACCAATGTAAAGTCTTGTCTTTCATTTCATCACTTGGAGCCATTCCTTAGAAAGCCCTGCTTGCTCAGCCAGCTCATTCATTCATTCAGCGATGTCTTTGGTGCTCAGTAGGCATCTGCAGACGTGTCATGGATGCTGGATCAGCACAGAGTCGGGTGGAAGAGCTCACAAATGCAGGGTTTCCTTTGCTGTATGAAGCTACGATTCTGGCTTCCTAATTATTGCTTTTGACTGTGTATATGCTCAACTTTTTTTTTTTTTTTTTTTTTTTTTTTTTTTTTTTTTTTTTTATGGGAAAGAATGTAGTTCCAAAAGAACAGCAAATGGGGAATGTTGGCCTGGGCTTTGAATGTTGCAATGTCTCTTCTGGCTCGGGACAACTTTGCAGCATGCATACCAGCGATTCCTCTTCTGACCACCATGTTTATCACACTCGAATGCTCGTCCAACGTTTTGTTTTAAAACACGCTCCATATGTCTCTCTTCACTGTTCCCTCCCCATGAGCCCACTTTTGGCAGTCCACCCTTTCTTCTGCTGCCATCCTCTTACCAAATATGGTTTTATCAGCCGACTTGTCATTCTCGGTGAGTAACTAACTTAAAAGACACCGTCTCATCCCTCATCAATCAAAAATATTTTTTATAGGGGGGGGAGTGTAGGAATGTGAACTGAAAAAGACAGGGTCTGTATTTCTTGTTTGTTTGTTTTTTCCTAGAGTTGAGGACCAAACCCAGGGCCTTGCACTTTCGAGACAAGTGCTGTCCCACTGAGCTAAATCCCCAACCCCTGTATTTCTTATTTAGTAATTTCCTGCTACTACACCCTGAAATGTCTTGGAAGATATGAGGTCAACCGGAGTAGCAGACTGAACTCCACTTCTACAAGCAGGAATGCATACACAGGGGGCTAAGATAAACTATGCAAATGCTTCCAGTTTCTGGGAAACTGTCTGTTCAGGGTAGGAGAAAATAGGAATTCAAGCTATGGGAACAAAAAAGAGGGGGAGGGGATGTACCCCAACATGCAGCTTTTAAGCATTTCAAAAATAATTGGTTTTTGTTTGTTTTTAAGACGGCACCTTACTAAGTAGCTCAGACTAGCCTCAAAATCACTGAGATCCACTTGTCTCTGCTTACCAAGTGCTGGGATCCCAAGTGTGCCTGGCTTTTTCTTTCTTTCTTTATTTTTTTTATTTATTTTTTTTTTTTTTGGTTTTTCGAGATAGGGTTTCTCTGTGGCTTTGGAGGCTGTCCTGGAACTAGCTCTTGTAGACCAGGCTGGTCTCGAATTCATAGAGATCCGCCTGCCTCTGCCTCGAAAAAGCTGGGACTAAAGGTGTGCACCACTGCCTGGCTGTGCTTGGCTTTTCAATTACTGTCTTTACCTAACCGCAAAACCTATGACTAGGTAAGAAGAATAGTTTAAGAAGAGCCTGAGTGTTGAGGCCCTTGGGAGAGGAGGGGCAGGAACACAGGGAATTAAGAGGAAGCCTGGCTCTATGTTAAGACCTTGTCTACAAAACAAAAACCAAGAAATTATTTTAAAATATTTAAAAGATTCAAGTGATGTATGTACCACTTAGCAAGTAATTCTGCTTTGTCATAGTTCCTCTTTTGCCAGTGAAGTCATTGTAACAGATGTTTCTCTGGCTTTCTTGTTCTACTTGAATCTAAGTATTTAAGTGGTACAAAAAATTCAAAGATACTGGACCCATGTTGTCCATTATCTTTGTGAATGTAGAATTACACACCAGACTTCTGAGACAATGTGGTAGTGGGAGTGTTGCCCAGTGGTCAAGCACTTGGCTGATGTGTGCAAGGCCCAGGGTTTGCCTCCAATGCTACAAGAAAAAAAAAAAGACTACATGGATAAAAGAATATGAAATAGTAATATTTTTAACACTTTTTAATGATTTTTTTTATGTACATTGATGGCTTGCCTGCCTGTATGTCTGTGTGAGGGTTTAGGATTCCCCAGAACTGGAGTTACAGACAGTTGTGAGCTGTCATGTGGATGTTGGGATTGAACCCAGATCCTCTGGAAGAACAGTCAGTGCTCTTAACCACTGAGCTATCTCTCCAGTCCAAAATATTAATATTTTAATTATTGTAATTTTATGGATATTAGGCTAGTAATATTAACTTTACCGCTTTTCTTAAGATTTAAAGTTAGACAAATGCTTTCAAATTAGATTTTAAATGAGATATGTGGGACTGAGTTGTTCTAGATAGTTCAAGAGCAAAGTTCAGGGAATTGTAAAAGTGTGAACAAAACTTCCTTATACTTATTAGGAGAGAGGGCATGGGAACAAGATAGTAAGAAACACAAGCCAGGTGCACGCCTTTAATGGTAGCACTCAGGAGGCAGAGGTAAACCTCTCTGTGAGTTCAAGGCCAGCCTGGTCTACAGAGTGAGCTCCAGGACAGGCAGGACTACACAGAGAAACCTTGTTTACAAAAAAAAAAGAAAAAAGAAAAAGAAAGACAGACATAAAGCAAAAGGTACAGTTTACTTTTTGGAAAGAGGTCTCTTGCTTAGGCTGGACTTATGAGATCAGTTTGCAGGAGCAGGATGTGAGCTGAATTCAACAAACATCCACTGAACACCTGCGAGGAAGGCCTGCTGAGAGGGTGGTACAGAAATGAGTCTAACCTGGGCCCTGCCAGGAAGATGCTCACCACTTGGTACATTCTGTGCTGTCAAGCATATGCCCGACTCACTGCTTACCAGACAGATGAATTCAGGCCTCTAACTCCAGAAGAAATGCACAGCTGTCAAATGACAGGGACACAGGGAAGCCTCAGGCTTGTGCAGCAGGTGCTCCCAACTGCTGAGCTCTCTCCAGCCTCACACATAGAATTAAAAATCACTCTGGGTTGGTGGTGCATGTCTGTAATCCCAGCACTTGGGAAAGGCAGGCAGAAGGAACAGAAATACAAGACTAGCTTAAGCTATATAGCAAGTTCAAGTCCAACCTGGGCTACATGAAGCCTTTTGTCAAACAATAGCACCAAACCAAACCCTAGGGCTGGGACAGTGGCTAAGACAGCAGAGCACCTGCCCACCATGCTTGGAGTCCTAGTCCAACACCCAGCACTACATAAAATGGGCACAGTATGCCTGTAATGCCAGCACTCTGGAAGTAGAGGCAGGAGGATCAGAAGTTCAAGGTCATCCTTGGCTGTCTTCCAGGCCAGGCTGGGACACATGAGATCATGTCTCAAAAAACAAAACAGACCAGCAATGTAATTCAGCAGGTAAAGTCATTGCCACCAAGCCTCATGACCTGAGCTCAATTTCCAACCCACAGGGTGGAAGGAGAGAAATAACCCTGTAAACTGTTCTTTGGCTTTCACAAATAATAAGTAATACATATAATTAAAAAACAAAGTGTAGAGCTGGAGAGATAGTTTAGCGATTAAGCGTACTGGCTCTTCTTCCAAAGGATCCTGTTTCCATTCTTAGTAGTGGCTCATTCCCTTCTGTAACTCCAGTCCCAGGGCATCTGAAACTTCCTCTGTGGACTCAGACATCATGCAGGCAAAACACACACATGTATTTTAAAAAATTAAAACAAAAATTAATAATGTCTCTGGGGCCATTTTATGCATGCATATATGTATACATACACACACACACACACACACAAGCATGAAATTGAAGTCAGGTTTTCAAACATGAGGAATTCAGCCAGAAGTGATGGCATATGCCTCTAATCCCAGCACTCAGGAGGCAGAGGCCAGCCTGTTCTACAGAGCTAGTTCCAGGACAGCCAGGGCCACACAGAGGGCTGTTTGTGTGTGGAGGTCAGAGGACATTTTATGGGAGTTGGTTCTTTCTTTCCACCATGTGGGTCATGGGGATTGAACCTATGTAGTCAGTCTTCTGCAGCAAGCACCTTTTCCTACTTAGCCATCCTCCCTCCCCTCTGTTTTTTTTTTTTTCTTTTTGGTTTGGAGACAAGGGTACAGCATTACACCCAGGTGTGTGTGTGTGTGTGTTTTGTTTGTTTGTTTGTTTAAGACAGAGTCTTTGGCTCAGCATTTAAGTCTACTGGCTACTCTTGCAGTGGACTGGAATTGGAGTTCCAGAACACACATGTTGGCTTACAACCTTCTGTAGACCCAAGGGATCTTATGCTTTCTGGCCTCCTTGGGCATCAGGTACTCACACGTTGCACAGACACACGAGGACAAAACACCTACACATAAAGCCCTTAACCAACTGGGATCACAGGTGTGCACTGCCTTGTCTAGTCTATGTGGTGTTAGGGAGCCCAAGGCTTCCTGCTTGCTAGGCAAATACTCTTAACAATTGAGCTATATCCCTGACCCCTTGCCTTGCCCCACTCCCTTTTTGTTTGTTTTGGAGACAGAGTCTTAACTGTGTAGCTCTAGAACTTGCTATGGAAACCTGGCTGGCCTCAAACTCACAAAGATCCACCTAGTTGGAGTTGAATGTCTATGCCATCATGCCTGACATCCTTGTTTTCTCTGTATTGCTCTGAACTTCTGGCTCAAGATATGCTTCTTTCTGTCTCAGCCTCCCAAGTAGCTGAGATGTCAGGCACCCAACACTGTGTCTAAAGCAAATAATTTATTAAAGGATGTTAACACCCACATGGAAACAGTTTGAAGAATAGAGACTGAAGCCTAGTGACTCAGAAACTGTAACAAAGGGTGGAAAGAGTTAATTAGGAAAATGTATACCTGAAAGGACTTTTTACTTCCTTTTGCAGGGACTACGGTTAGGTGCTGGACGTAAGGGTATGCCATGGGTGCACAGGAGCCTGTGGAAACCAGAAGAGGGGAGGGGATGCCCTGGAACTGAGGCTACCAACACAGGTGCGGTCAAACAAATGAGGGGCCTCTGAAGGGCAGCAAGTGTTAATGCTGAGCCATCTCCCAAGGTGCAGCCTTAAGTTTGTGATCATCTCAGTCCTGGGATTCCCGGCCAGCACCACCATGCCCAGTTCAGGCAGTGCAGGACAAGGAGCCCAGGGCTTCATGCATGCCAGGCAAACTACCACCCACGCTACATCCCCAGCCCTTCATGGAGTCTTTTTTACAAGTGTTTTGTTTGCATGTAGGTGTACCATGTGCATGCCCAGTGTCCAGAGGTCGGAAGAGGGCACTGGATCTTCTGGAAGAGCAGCAGGTTCTCTTAAGAGGAGAGCTGTACCTCCATCTCTGGATTCCTTCACTTCTCAAGTAAATGGAGAACATCTGAGAATTGACCGCTATGCTCTGAAAGGACCACACAGCATCCCTCTTCAGAAATTCCTGTCCACATCTTCACAGGATCAACAGCTAGTTATGCCCGATTCCCTGAGAACCCTAGAACAGTGACACCCCAATCCTCCTGGTCTTTGAAGATGATAAAGGAAACTGCGAGTGGAATTTGCTCTCACCCATTCTCCACCACAGGAGAACACATACACAAGTTAAACTTCTCTTGCTGGTCGCTGATGCTGCTGCAGAGCGCTGTCATTGTGGTCACATGCCCCTTATTTTCAATGAGTATACAGCCAACTTCAATAAGCAACAACTCATTTACCAAAACATGTGAACAACCTCAGCACCGAAGCAGCTAAGTGGAAAACTGCCTTCACCACACACTTCCCAGGACGCACCAGTCACCAGGCTGCCTTCGGGTTTGGCAGAGATGGTTGGGGAAATCCCTCACTCTGCCTTGGAAACACATCTGGGCTCCTGACTGCTGCTGTCATCCAGAGGAAGACAGCAACACCCGGTACCAACTTTTCTCCTTATATAGAAAGACCATCTATCCAGGAACCTCCACCACTCTCCAGCCTCACAGGGAGGAGCCAGGGACACAGGCAGAGAGGGGAAGTTTTAATTTCCTGTGACTCAAAGCTTTAGTCACAGACAGTGGCATCTTTTCAGCAAATGCTACACAAGCGAAGGCTCCTATCACTTATGGGAAAGCTCAGAGGGCATTTGCTCAAGGTCCTGTGACTGTGACGTCTCCAGTGTGTGTGCCAGCAGAACAGGGTGGGGAGCCGCAAGTCAGAGTGGAATCTTCCTCACACCTCTTTCCTAGAGAGTGGCCATGTTCTACTCTTTCTATCTGTTGTATGGTGTATGCATGTGGAGAACAGAGGTTGATGTCAGATGTCCCTTGTCATTGACACTTTTTGAGGCAAGGACTCTCATGGAACTCTTAGTTAATGGCCACTCTGGGGACCCTCTGGTTTCTGCTCCACCCACCCCCCCAACCTCCCTGTGCTGGGGTGCTGATGTGGATGCTGGGGAATCCACTCAGGGCCTCATGCTTTTGTGGCAAGCACTGAGTCGCCTCCCTAGCCTTCCTCACTTCTGGCGCCTCTTTTACTCCAGCCCGGCCCCATACCCCAGCCTCTATCTGGAGAGGAGCTCCTAATCCGACCACAGCATTCAACACACGCTGTTGGCTAGGCACACAATGGATCCTTAAGAGATAATGTTCTAGGGGCAACAGACCAAACACAAGAAAGGGACAAATGACTTGTAAATTAAGTACTCTTCTTTTGTCGGTGGCACTAGAAATTGAATCTATGGCTTTGTGCAAGCTACTATGAACTGTGTCACAGGTCCAAAGCACCTTCAAGAAAACAGACTATAGTAAGGAATAGAAGACTTGGGTAGACTATCCCCAGTTGGTTCATCAGCTGATCCTGCATCTTCTACACCCCGGCCCCAGTCCCCTTCTGTTCTCGTTTCTCTCAAGTCGGGTTTCATCCAGCCTAGGGCGGCCTTCAGCTCCTGGTCCTCCTGCCTTCGCCTCCCGAGTGCTGGGAGCACAGGCTGTGCCAGCACGCTTGGATCCTCCTGCTCTTGGTATCACTTGCTGAGTGTTTTCCCATTAATGTGCCTTCTCTTTCCCCATAGCTGTTTTTCAGCTCTAACACCAGTCTGAGGAAAACATTTCTTCATTCTCAATCAGGAATTTTCTCCCTCTTTTAAATTCTTTATCTTAAAAAAAGTTGTTTTCACAAGGTCTCACCATGTAGCCCAGGGTGGCTTCAAACTTGAGATCCCCTACCTCTGCTTCCCAAGCGCTGAGAACATATTCTGCCCCCACACTTTTTTTTTTTTTTTTTTTCTTTAAAGTGTGGTTAGTGCCATGCCATAGTTGTTAGGAAGATTAAAACAAACAACTCAAGATGTGAAAGCACTCTGAACATGAAGAGAGGTGTACAGCTTTAATCCCAGGACTCAGAGGTAAGGTAAGCAGATCTTGGTGAGTTTCCAGCCGGCCAGGGCTACAAAGTGAGACCTTGTCCCAAAGTTGAAAAGAAAAAGACCCATACAAATATGAATCATTTAGTAATCATTGTTACCACCGAGAGCACCCTGGGAACCTGACCTCACAGGATGGCCAGGGAGGTGGAAAAGTTGCCTGACTTGTGAGGCGGTGGCCTTGGCTTTCTGCTGTCTTCCTTTCTCCACCAACTCAGCGATCACAAGATGCAACTTGAACTTTTGCACTGATTTCTACATAACAGAGTGCGTAAGAGCTGCAGGGCCAAGGCCTGCATGTCTACTTCCTTGTCCGTGCCCTCACCACCCACCAAGTGCTGAACCTCCCACTCTTAATACCCCCCTGGGGTTGCAGTTGGGATTAAACGATTAAGTGCAATGACACTGAGAACAGTGTCCACTAGAGAGCAAACAACCATTATCCGTTACAGCAGCTCACTGTGCTTCCTGGTTCAGGGCATATCAGAGAGGTCCCTGGGAGCTGTCAGCGCTGCGCTGCTGAGTGTGAAGTGCCACAGTGGCCTGGAAGGGGCAAGGGGCTGGGGCAATGGGCGAGCATTGAGAGCATGGCCACACAGAGTGGGTGACTCTGCTACTGGTCTAGGACTTGCTCTCCAGCTGGGTGGAAAAGGGCTGCAGCTAGAGGCTTTCTCACTTTATTTTTGGTCTTCTTGAAAAGTGACTGGGCCAGGCAGTAGTGGAGAACACCTTTTAGTCCCAGCACTTGGGAGGCAGAGGCAGGTGGATCTCTGAGTTCAAGGCTAGCCTGGTCTATAGTATGAGATCTAGGATAGCCAAGGGTACACAAAGAAACCCTATGTCAAAACAACAACAACAAAGTGATTGCGTTGAGCAGAGCACCATTCTTTGGGAACATGGCCAGGCATGAGGAGTAACTGTGCTGTGGTCTCCACACATGGAGAGGAGCTGGAGGACAGCAACAACCGTCTGACCTCCAGGGAAAGGCAACAACCGCCCCCTTTCTCAAAGGCCTAACTGGCCTCACTACCCCATGGCACTTTTCCTTTTTGATCTGAAATAGTCTAGAACACAATTAAGCAATGCTGTTCAGCTGGGTCAGTCCAAAGATGCCCCAAGGAAAGGATTGCTCATTTTCTCTCCTGCGAAAGGCACAGATGGCAACAGGGAAATGCCACATTTAGGATAGCCAGGGAGGGAAGAACGGTTACAGAGACCTCCAGGATTAAGAAGGTTTTAGAGAGAAGATCATCCAAGAGGTCAGAAATGCCTGAAGATCCCGACTGTCAGTTGGTATAGGTGGCTCAGGGGTCCCAGGAGGCTGGAGCCCTTCAGAATTCTGGAATGTGTTTTCCAATGTAAATAAGGGCTGGTTTGTAGAAATGGTGCTGGAACGTGTCCAAGCACTTCCTGTCTGTCCTTTGAGTCATTTGGAAATGGTTAACAAATAGGTTGGACACCTGGCCTCAGATGGAGAAGGGAATTTCCCCATAAACCCTGTACTGTAAAATTCTCTTCCTTCCCGAAGCAATTGAGATCAGGACAGAAATGTACTCTAAAGACTCCTGTGTCCTAAACTGGCACAAGGCAAAGATAGAGCAACTACTACAGACTCAAGGAATCAACTCTGTGCATGTGAAAAATGCTACTTTGAGAGGACTCTGTGTCCAATGGTTTCAAGAGTCACTAGCTGTGGATCTGTTCCCAGATCCAGCCAGCCACTTGCAACTGACTCACTCTCACTGGATTTGGGTCAGTCTCCTGAAGTGAATCCTGGCGGAGAGCAAGGGCCATCTAAAACAACCTCCCTTTTAATTTAGTATTAACACCCACACAGAAATCTCTGAGACTCCAGAGGTCAAAGAGCAAGAACAGTTGGCACCTGCCTATCACAGCACCATGCAATTCTAAAGGCCTGAATAAGCAGCTCTGTATCACAGGCTTTTGTAAGATCTCTTCCCAGAACAGCTTAAATATGCAAATGCATTTTGGTAGGTTATTTGCTACAATTCAAGGTCTCACCTCCAAGGCAAACACATTACCTCAGGTGAACTTTGGCCTTGCAGGGAAGGGACTGAAACCCAAGCCCCTGTTAACCAAGGACATCTTCAGATGCAGTACTTCTGTGTAGCATATCATTTGCCATATTTGCCATAAAGTATAGCAGACTGCCAGAGGAGGCTGGCTTTAAAAAGTATTCCTAAATTCTTACTATATTAATTCTTAGTTGCATATTAAAGGTAACAAGTCCAGCCTGGTACTGTGTCTATAAGTTGAATACTCCAGAGGCCAAAGCAGACCAGTCTCCTATGCTACACTATCTCCAGCACATGTACATTAAACCAAGTTATTTATGAAGAACATAAATAGCCTTTTGTGTCTATTAAAAAAGATAAAGCCAATTCTGGGCGGTGGTGCACGCCTTTAATCCCAGCACTCAGGAGGCAGAGGCAGGTGGATCTCTGTGAGTTCAAGACCAGCCTGGTCTACAAGAGCTAGTTCCAGGACAGCTCCAAAGCCACAGAGAAATCCTGTCTCAAAAAACCAAAAACTTTTAAAAGTGCTTTTTCTGGGCCTGGTGAAAGGCTCTGTGGCAGAGGTGCCTGGCACTAAGACTAAAGAGCCGAGCTTGACTCCAGAGACTCACATGGTAGGAAGGACAACTGACTCACTGTGACATGTGTAAATCACCCCTCAAAATAAAGTAAAAAAAATGTTTGGTCAAATATTCTTTTTCACTTACTACAAAAGCATGTCCAAGATGATACAGGTTCCAAGAGAGCATGTGAAAATAGGGATACAGCTGAGCAGTGGTGTATGTGTGCTGAGCAGTGATAGGAAGCCTAGGTTTTAACTCAGAGAACCTGCAAACAGGTTTCTGGTGGAGTGACTACATTATGACATTTCTGCATATGTATAAGATAATCTTTGATGATTTAAAAACTGAAAACAAGGCCTGGAAAGATGGCTCAGCAGTTAAGAGCATATACTGTTCGTGTAGAGGCCTGGGGTTTAGCTTCTAACACCCCAAGGAGTGGCTCATAATCACCTGTGATTCCAGGTCCAGGGCATGTAATGCCTGCCCTCTTCTGATACTGGAATACATGTGCAGAGATACATGTAATTAAAAATAGTAAAATCTTATTGATAAGGCACATATTAGTCTAAAAGTCTGGAGTTAAGGCCAGGTGTGGTGGCACACACCTTTAGCTCCAGCACTTGAGAGGGTGAGGAAAGTGGGATGTTTGAGTTTGAGGCCAGCCTGGTCTACACAGGCAGTTCTAGGACAGTCAGGACTACACAGAGAAACCCTGCCTCAAACAGACAAGCAAAACAAAAACTGGAGTTACAGGGACATTTACTGCAGGCGACTTATTTAGCTTAATGCAGTGCTTGTATTTGGTGAACAGGGTTCTCTGTCTTTTATGCTGCACACCGCAGAGCATGCTGGGGACATAGGCTGAGATTGGGAGCACTTACTACAGGATGTACTTCCATACTGTATACATAAACATGCATTCTTAACTTTCTCTACATTGTTAGCAGCCTGTGGGACTGGGCAGTGGTTCTCAACCTTCCTAATGCTGCAACCTTTAATACATTTCCTCATGTTGTGGTGACCCCCAACCACAAAATTATTTTTGTTGCTACTTCATAACTGTAATTTTGCTTCTGTTATGAATTATAACGTAAATATTTTTGGAGATAAAGGTTTGTCAAAGGGGTAATGAGCCACAGGTTGAGAACCACTGGATTAGGTGCCCACTATCCAAATCAATGAAAACATTCTTCTCCAGAGCGCTGCAATCCCCGTGATGCATACATGCACATTCCAGAAAGCCATGGAAGCAGGCCTGACTCCCATTCTCACAGTAGAGCTTGAGGTAAAAACTGCTGGGGGGGGGTGTCATTTAGCTGGGATGTGGTAAGGAACAAAATGAGACTTATGTAAAGTTGGAGTTGGAATGTCCAAGCTCTCTTGAGTTTCGGGAATATCGAATCATTACACTTGCAAGTTTTCTGGGCTCCAACTGGGTGGAATTAAGCAGTAGTATCTTTGGAGGCATGTAACTATATCTATATTAGTGGTTAATGGAACCAGGCAACCACCGGACAGGAGGTTTATTCCAGCTGGGATCTAAGACACATGAACAGGGTTCATTTGGAATTTGATTAGTCTCCTAGACGTTTAGCTTAGAAAATAGTTTTCTCCAATATTCTACCCTAAATCAAGTATATAAATAAATCCCAGATTTAATATAAGTATAATTCATACTTAACCCCCTCTTTTTTCAAGTAAACACAAAATAAAAGGTAAAGGAAGGAGATGAAACAATGGGAACCTAGCATGGGAATTCTGATGTTTGCTAGCTAAGACTATGTAAATTATATTGGTCTAAGCTCAGCACTTGAGAGTCTAAGACTAGCCTAGTCCACACTAGTACCTATCTCAAACAAACAAATAAATAAATTAATGCATAATTCATATGTTAATCTGGGCACTACTTTTCAAGTATGGTCAGGTAACAAACTGTTAGTTCCTGAAAAAGAAAAAAGCAAAAAATAAAAACAAAACAAAAATAAAGACCAACCAGCCAAAAACAAAACAAAGTTAAGTAACAACCTTTCCAAAATTCATGAGGCAAGATAATTTTAATTTTTATTTATTTAGCTATGATTATCACTACCCCAGTTTCCTAGGAAGTCTCCTCTCGATACTGCTGCAGTATGTAAGGACTGTAAACCATGATGCTGGGTTATGTTTGAATGAAAACATTTGATGTGGATGGTCAGATGAAAGATACCAAAATGTCAGACAGCCCATCGACTGCT